TGCAATCTATTCTTAATACAAACCTCTACTGCACTTGGAATTCATGCTGACCTCCAATTTTAGCACCTTTCTGCTCTGCGAATAGTTCTATACACTTTCTATACTCCCACAAAATGGCTGCTATCAGACTTCCTCTGATAGGCTGCACTCCAATACCTTCATGATTTTACACACTGCACCTGTCTTAAGTTTCAGTCAACAGTTTTGACAATGTAGCAGCTTAACCTTACCCTGCCTACAACAAATTATTATCCCACCATGCAACTGTTAACTTTAACGCTAGACTCCATCCCTATAGTCTCCTATCAACTTATGTCTTGCTACCAATATTTTTATGCATTCTCCTATTAAGTAGTCAGAGCTATATCACTGAGTTCTCCCTGTGTCCATTAGTGTATGCATTTGTCTGCCACTCTGAACCTGAATCCATCAATTTCCATTTTTTCAGCTTCTTTTCTATTTACTCCTTTTGGATTACTCTTTCAATTGTCATGCCTGTTTTTGCTTCTTTTCTCTTAAATACTCTGCCCTTCCAAATGCCTGTTTCAACCTTTCAAATCACCCTGGCCTTCCTGTTCTCTTGCCAGCAAGTACATTTGACAAGCTTAGATGAGCTTATAGCTTCCTTGGCAATCTCCAAAGGATTCATTCGATTTGATTTGATTTATTGTAGTCACACGTACCTAGGTACAGTGAAAAGCTTTGTTTGCGAGCCATACAGGAAGGTCATAGTAAGCAGGGACATACAGATCAGAGGGTGCTTAGACAGTGTGAGGCATACAGGTTACAACATTCATCAGTCCCTTCATCAGTCTAATTAACAACAGGGAATAAGCTGCTCTTGAACCTTTTGGTGTATGTGTTCAAGCTTCTATATCTTTTGCCTGACAGGAGAGGTTGCACCAACACAACAGCCTTGATGAAAACCTGGCTGAGAGATTATGACACCTTCCCCGAAAAGGAAACTTCCCCATCTGGCTATGTTTTCCACCATTTGTCAAGTCAACACCAAATCAGTCTGTTAAAACTGTCCATTATTTCAGAGTCATGCAAAATTGGAAAGATAAACTTCATGCTCTTAAACCATCTCCTTAATCTGCTCCTTCCTCTAACTTCCTGATCTCCAACAATAAGTGCAAGAAGCTCATAGAGTTCTTAATTGCTAAGACTGTCAGCATTGAATTAGCTGTCTCTGCCACTTCCCTTCCTTCCACTAGGCTGCTGAGCCAATCCATCTGTAAGGGCTCCCCTGCCCCAATCCCAAACTTGTATCTTCCTCTACTTTGTTTTCTATCATTCATGATTTTCTCTCTGTATTCAGTATGTCCATGATACCCACTTCCTGCTCGCTCAATCATACTCCCCACTAAACGACTGATCACCTTACTATCCTTCCTGATCCCCGCATTAGCCAATTTCAAGTATCATCCTTCTCTCCTTTGAAGCGGTTATCGGCCCTGTCCTCAAAACAAAAACCTTAGCCTGACCAGCTTTGCAAACCAATGCTCCATTTCCTACTTTCCTTTCTACTCAAAAATCCCTGAGCATTTGTGACCTTCCAAAGCTATGCCCATCTTTCCCGGAATACCATGTTTGAAGCTCCAAAATCAATGTTCTGCCGGTGTCACAAAAACTGAAACTGTTTTTTAATCAAACTCTCAAATTACATCCTGTGTGACTACGGCGAAGAAAAACTTTCCATCCTTCCATCCAACTTTTCAACTTACCTGAAGACTAAGACATGGTTTACAAAATCATCCTCCTCCAATGCCCCTCCACTTTTGTTCCGTGGAAGGAACTGCATTCATCTGGTTCCATTCTCATCTGTCTAATAATAGCCTGTTTTATGGCTTCACTTCCAAGTTGCACACCTTTTCCTTAAGAGGCCCCCCTCCTTATTCTCATCTATATCTGGTCCTTGGTGACATCATCTAAAAACACAGCTTAATTTTTCACACATACCCTGAATAACCCCAAGCTCTAACTCACAACTACCTCTCTTCACTCCTCCACTGAGCTTAGTTATCAGACTGCTTCTCAGACATACAATTCTGGCTGGACAAATAGTCTTACAATGACCCTTTGTGTCATACTTCACCTCAAAATGAGCTTCCAACCATGCATTAATGCAATAACTAAAACCATCTATTTTCAACTCTGTACCACATCAATCACACCCCCACTCTTCCATGCATCAGTTCACCTACTATTGAAAACCTCATCCATGCTTTAGTTGACTATTCAAATGTATTCCTGACTGATCTATCATATTATATTCACCATATACTTGAGGTCATCTAAAACTCTCCCACCTATATTCTCACACGTTAAGCCCTGTTCACCCAACACCCTGGTACATTCTCACCTACACTGGTTCCAGTCAAGCAACACCTTCATTTGAAAACAGTCATCCTCGTTTTCACATCCCTTCATAGCAGTACCCCTCTTTATCTTTGTCATCTCCTGGCCCACAACGTTCCAAGATATCTGCACTCATCTATTTCTAGGGGTCTCTTAAGAAACACTGGTTCTGTGCATTCAGCTTTCTAAGGGAATCTTAGGAATCTTCTCCTGAAACCTCACTACCTCTCTCTTTATTCTCCTTTAAGACATTCCTTAAATACAACTTCTTTGACCATATATCGGTCATAAATTTTGCCTTTATAAAACTCCTATGAAACACTTTAGGATGTTTCATGGTGAAATAGTTTGGCACACAGGTGCAGCAGGTGATGAGAAAAGCTAATGGCACACTGGCTTTCATAGCAAGAGGATTTGAGTATAGGAGTAGGGAAGTCTTGTTGCAGTTATACAGGGCCTTGGTGAGGCCACACCCTGAGTATTGTGTATAGCTTTGGTGTCCTAGTTTGAGGAAGGACATTCTTGCTACTGAGGGAGTCCAGTGAACGTTCACCAGACTGATTCCTGGGATGCCAGGACTGACATATCAAGAAAGACTGGATTGACTGGGCTTGTACTCAGTGGAATTTAGAAGAATGGGGTGGGATCTCATAGAAACATATAAAATCCTGATAGGGCTGGACAGGCTAGACGCGGGAAGGATGTTCGCAATGTTGGTGAAGTCCAGAACCAGAGGGTGACAGTCTAAGAATAAGGGGTAAGCCATTCAGGACTGAAATGAGGAAGAATTTCTTCACTCAGAGAGTTGTGAACCTGTGCAATTCTCTCCTACAGAAAGCTGTTGATGCCAGTTCATGGCTCTTGCAGCTAAAGGAGTCAAGGGATATGGAGAGAGAGTGGGAATGGGATATTGAAGTTGCATGGTCAGTTATGATCATGTTGAATGGTGGTGCAGGTTCGAAGGGCTGAATGGCCTACTCCTGCACCTATTTTCTATGTTTCTTTGTTTCCTTGAAATTAAAGGCAGTTTGCAAATAGAAGTCAGCATTGTTACTGCTGAAATTGTTAAAAAGAGAGTTATTCAGTTGGCAGAGAGCAAAGGAGTTGCTGTCATCACAATCAATGGGACATATCTGCATAAACATATAGATGTCGAAATTGGGCACAGGAACTTACAATTAACAGCCCCTGTCAAATGGCAAAAAGGTGGTGATTGATTTCCCCCTTTTAAAACCCTGACCATTTTGGTATCACCAACAATCAAAGAAATGTGTGTCTATCTTTGTCTCACACCCATTTTTTGTCTTGATGCTTTGGTTGCTCATCTGGTTTTCCATTTGTGCTGTCTCTATCACTCTGGTTTGTTATTTTATACTTTCATTTTTTGCAAATCCCATTTTCTCATTGTCGCTTCCCTTCTATTTTGTCCCTCTTCTCTCCTTCATACGTCTCTGTTTTTGTGTTTGTTTACTGACATGCATGATAATATTTTTACGTTCTGGGAAACTCAGCATAACAGGTTGAAGGGTGGGGTGGGGAACATACAATAGGTCAGAGGTCATCTCGGATAATGGACATCAGAGAGGAGCTAAAGACTCGCTGGTTCAGAGAAAACTTTACACAGAAAGCTTAGCAAGGAGAGATTTTATACAGTATGGATGGATCTTTAGTCTGGCAAAATACATCAGATTTTTGTATTGCAGAAGAAAGACATGCATTTTTTAAAAACTTTTCATCTTGCACTCATCAGGACATTACGCAAGAAAATAAATTTGAATAAGAATTTGTGTTCTCACACCAAGTCCTGATAAGAGCAAGATGAAAAGTTTCAGCAAAATGTGCCTTTTGAGCAATAATGAAGTTTTGTACTACAAATGAAATAACTCCACAAAGGCTGGTATCCCGTTACGAAGTAACCCTTTATTTACACGTGCATAGTACATGACACTGACCTAGTTAGCATAGAGCTGGCTCCAAGAGTGAGTAGAATCCCCGAGACTCCTGTTTACATCTGTCAACCCAGGCTCCCTAATTGGACCAGGTTAACAACCCCAATCAGGGAACACATACTCTGTGAGATCCACCTGACTGACACTGTTCTAATCACTACATTGAACATTGGTTTTCAGTTGCACAATGGAAAAGAGCCGTGAGAGATGCAAACTAGAAGGAAATGGAAAGTTGGCATGAACTGGTGTTAACTGTGAACATGTCTCTATTTAGAGGAATTTTCATGGGATCTGGAGGTGTTTGACCAATGCTCAAAATTTGTTGTGCTTAATTATTTATAAGCTGGGGAATACAGAGACTGGGAAAACACAGGACATTGGAATTCTGAGCAAGCCAATTGCATTAGAGACTGGAGTTCATGGCAGTTGGGCAGAACTGAGATGAGATCATTCATACTGGAAATTTGTGGCTGGGTTGTTAAAATAACTGGAAGAGAGAGTGCACTGAGAAATTGTGGGATCATACAGTAGGAGAAGAAAGCAAGAATCATTACAGATGGTGATGGGAATCTGGAATTACTAATCTTGCTGATACTCTTCCCATTGCCAAAGAGCAATAATAAAGCTTTTAGTTCTTTATTTTGTACAAACAGCAAGATAAATTGGAATTGTACACATTAATTCACATACTTGGCAAAGTGCAGAATAGTTTTAAGTCTTATGGCTCCATCGAGATGACAGTGAAGTTCAACCTGTAAAAGAGAGACAGAACAGCATAACGGATGGAATTTCATGTGCAGGGGAACTGATGTCACCCATGCAGTCACATATTTCAGCCACCTCTGATGAAATTAAGTGCATCAGTGCTGCCAGGGATCTCAGTGGTCCCCTGGGGGCATATTGATTCATGGAATCATTTAGTGTAGAGAGGAGATCCCACCTCCAGTCCAACACCAGCAGCTTTCCAATATCTGCGAGTGTGATCACTGCCAGTACCACACTGGGGCCGACAGGAAGGTTTCAGCAATGGATTTTGCACAGTCAAGTAAATGGATTGAGATTGGGATCCCCGGCAGATGGGGTCACTGAAAAGGTTCGGTTGAGGTACCAAAGGCAAGAGAGGGCTGTAGCTTCTGTGGATCTCCATGCCAAATCCCTGATGGTGCACAAAGACTCTGAGAACAAGATCCCAACCCCTCTACGAATCTGCAGGCCAACAGGAAGTCTTCCTGGATAACTTGAAGCTTGTAAGATGAGGGAAATAATTATATGATCTTGAAAAGAAATTAAGTCAGTGTAAGTTGGAACATTGAAAAATACCCCAAATAAAGTGCCAAAACCAAACTGTGCCTGCACCATACTGCCAGACCCCTACCACCAGACTCCCATCCCAATTACAATACACAGGGGACAGTTTTTTAAAAAAAATTAGGGGTGATCCTTTTAGGACAGAGACCAGGACAATTTTCTTTTCTCACAGGGGGTTGTGCAACTTTGTATCGTCATATGGCAGTAAAGCTCACGTGTTTAAAGTAAGAAAGAATTGGCTATACGAAACCAATGTTACAAGAGTGAATTCCGTGGCACTTCGACTTACCCTAAGCATATATTTAAAGTACTCTTCGTAGAAGTCATATCGATCTTGAAACATTAACTATTTATTTCTCTACCGACGCTGAGTTTCTCTAGAACTTTCTGCTTTTATTCCAGGACCTGCAGTACTTTGGTTTTCAATATATTTAAGGTATTCTGAAATGATCATCGTTTTTCACAGCAAAGTCTGGTCAACACGTCAATAGTAAACAAGCTCCTTTTTTGAAGTTTACAGATTTAATAATAATTGGTGTCAAATGGTGCACTGCTGTTCGGACATTGCTAATTGGATGGGTATTTCTCATATTTGCCTGTCTCTAAACAGCACCACGACAGCTTGAAAATCACCTTTAATAAATTTAAAATGTTGAAAAAATACAAAATGATAATTGATTGTTTTTGTTTGCTAGCTAGAAGTGTAGCCTTTGATTGGAGTCACCTTAAAAAAAGGGCATGCCTATCTGCACCACAGAATCTGGACTGCTTTGCAAAGATTTATGCTTATCCCAATTTTAAGTATCTATGCACTGACTTTCCAAATGTAATGTCAATATAAAGCAATTTAGCATTGCATAAAATATGTTCTGAAGGTGCTGTAAGAGTCCATCTGGTGGTGGTGGTCTGGCATGCACTGCCCAGGAGGATAGTTGAGGCAGAAAACTTCACATATACTTGGATGAGTACTTGAGGTGTCATATCATTCAAAGCTAGCTATGGTCCCAGTGCAGGAAAGTGGGACCAGAGTCATAGAATCGTACAGCATGGAAACAGACCTTTTGGTCCAACTCTTCCAGGCTGACCAGATATCCTAAATTAATCTAGTCCCATTTTCCAGCATTTGGCCCGTATCCCTCCAAGCCATTTCTATTCATATACTCATCCAGAAGCTTTTTAAATGTTGTAACTGTGCCAGTCTCCACCACTTCCTCTGGCAGCTCGTTCCATACACGCACCACCCTCTGCATGAAAACGTCGCACATTACATTCCTTTCAAATCTTTCCCTTGTCGCCTTAAACCTATGCCCTCCAGTTTTGGACTCCCCTACCCTGGGGAAAAGACCTTGTCTCCTCACCCTATCCATGCCCCTCATGATTTTATAAACT